GGTGAGAGCTCGGACCTTGCCTGCCGCCGCCGGCCTCGGCCTTGAACGGAGCGAGCAGGGGCTGGGCTCGCGGCGCTGCGGCCGAGAACCGCGCCGCGCTGGAGATTTGGAGCCAGGCTGCAGAACTGCGGTGGGTGTAGCGCGGAGAAAGAGCTTGGGGAAAAAGCAGGGGACCAGCGGTTTTGCGAGGCGGTTACCAAATGTCCTGACACGTGTCGTGTGTGTAGGGTAGTTCATGTGTTTAGGGTAGATCTGAGACCTGGTGCCTCTGTGTGCCGCTGTGGAAAGGCGACGGAGCACGTCACGAAGCAACGCGTCCTCGTCCCTCCCCGTGCCAGGCCCACGTGTGCTCACGACATTCATTTCAATCTTTTAAGTACTGTGCTTGAGTGTAGTATTTGTGTTACCTTTAACAGGACTAAGTGTTTTCTGGTTATAAAAAAGACTATATTTATTTAAAGCATTGCTTTTATTTTGAAAAGCTCCTTTTTAAATTAATTTGATTAACAAATATGCTGATTTTCTGAACTTAACAAAAAGTAATTGCGGAAAGTTTGACCATTGGAGAATATTATATAGCTATTGTGTTAAGTTATTTTTGACTTCTTAATAACACTATTATGTTCATGTTGCACATTCCTGAGAGAGTAAAGCTATGAAACAACTCTGACCCATGTTTTTAAAGTGATTTAACACGGAAGGTAACTGGCGACACTTGGATAAAGGTGGGTTAGAGTGGGTAAGTTGCTTGAGAAAAGATTCCTGCACCAATAGGAACTCTATTTATAACTCAGTTTTTGGTAAAACTTGCCATACTTGTTCAGTTCCAGCCCTAAACCCTCTGTTTCTCTCTCCATGGGGTTACGAGTGTGCGCTCAGCCTTCGCTGCGACCTGGAGAGCGGTGTCATCGGTGTTCCGGGCGAGGCAGAGCCCAGACCAGCGGTGCGAGCGTGCGCGTTCACATTTTGCCCTCCTGGGTTCCCTTCCTGGTTGCATCGTGGGTTGCGTTTGTGTGAGAAGCGGCACTCGGCCCGCGGTGTCAGCAGCTGGGGAGGACGGGGCCGTAACCTCGCTCCAGGTGAAGGAGCAGCCGCTCCTCAGGGAGGGTGAGTGGCTGCTCTCTTGGTGCTGCGTTGAAACGTGGAAACAGCTTCATTTTCTCAGTTTGAAAGGCTGTCCTGATGTCTGCACGGGAACTGGTGGCAGAACACCTTCCGGTCCTCCCTCCTTCCCTGGCGTTGCAAACAAGTGAGCGTAAACCGCGTAGAGAAGGGCTTGCTTTGTGTGCTCACGCGGAAGGGGGTGCCACGCGGCTCTCGCTCCGTACGTATTTGCAGAACCAGAACTTGGTGCCTGGGAGGAAACCCCATCGCGTGCGTGCAGACGCCTCTCGTGCCGCGTGCTGCGTGGCTTTCTGTGCGGAGCAGAAGACCCGGGCCGCCGCAGAGAGCC